TTTGTTTACCTTTAGTTAATTACCTAAACAGATGGACTATAAGTATTTATGGTAAAACGGACTAAAATGGACTTTATTGAAACTAATGGCAATAAAAAAGTTCACCCTAAATGTGCTAAATTATTTGGCACACAAAATATCGGACGATTAAAAATAAATGTAACATTTTTGGTTTATTGTAAATATCGTAATTTACAGTAATCGGTATAATGTTAAAATCCATATTTACATGTATATTTTACAAATTTTTAATTTTCTGACCTATTGATTAAAACCACAGATTAAAGATAGATTGCTCCATAGACAAGCCATTTTATAAACCTAGAATACTCTATGGCTCAGTATTTTTTTACAAATTATAAATTAATTTAAATACAAATTATATTTTATGGTTCACTGTTTTTTTTAATATTATAATGTATGTATAATTGTATTTTATTTTACTGACTCTCACCTAACTTTTTGGATGATTTTTTTTTAATGATTTATTCGGCATATCACTGTTGGTTTTAAGTTTATAAATAAAATTAATTTACGAGCACACATATTCAACATATATATAAATTATAAAGTATGAACTTTTTTAAGTATAAACTGACATTGTGGGTTCCTAAATTAGGTAAACTACTTTAACATTTTGATATTTTTGAATAAAGCGCTTAACATAAATAAAATATTAATTTGTTTGTGACCAATTCGAAATGGTAAAACGTAAGTTTGCATTTACCTCCGCAGTTCGCTTGGTGGCGCTGGTTTGATAACTACCGTAACTAATACACCAACACCCAAAGCTGCCAGGCCTTACTTATTTTCAAAAACTAAAAAATTATAAATTGTAACACTTAATTGGCGATGCAAAGATTCTAACGAGCGCCTTTAGTGTCAAAATTGTGAAGCTGTCTAAGAACGACACTGACAGTTTTCGTATATAATTTACGTCACAGAATTTATTAAATATAAATCAGATTTATTATTTAGTCATCATCAACAGCCTATAAATGCCCACTGCTGAGCAAAGCCTCTTCTTACACGGAGAAGGTTTGAGCATTAATCACCACGCTTGCTCAATGCGGGTTGGTGATTACAAACTTATAATTAGAAATTATAAGCCCAGGTTTCCTCACGATGTTTTCCTTCACCGTTTGTCAGTGGTGTCTGAATAATCTTAGAAAGTACATATAACTCGGAAAAAGTCACATTGGTACTTGCCGTTGGTAGGTTTCGAACCCCCGGGCCACCACGACACTATTATTTAGTGGTTTCTTGTAAATATAAAAAGTAAATTGCAATTAATTAAATGTGTGTTATACTAATTATTCAGTTAATATCAATTCAATCCTATATCCTCGAATTCAATCCTGTATCCGTTATACACATCACTCTATTGACTCATTTATTTAAGATTCTTGATTAATTTACAATATATGTTTATCTGATGCTCGACCACCATAAGGTGCACTTATTTCAGTTGTTAGGCCAGAAAGAGTTATTCCAATATCAAACTTCGCTCTATTGTTTTTTTTTTTTATATTGAGAGTACGTCAATATTCTACATTCACATCACTACTACTACAATCACAGTCTCAACCCAGTCTAATATTATTCTTGTATTTTTATATTTTTGGAATGATTTAGGTAAGTTACAACGTATCATTTCGGTATCAGGACAAGAATAACAACTTTGAGTACTCTACTTAGGATGGGGCACATATTATTAAAATAATTAGAACATGTATGCATATTTATACTTTAAGTGACATATTTTGTTTAACTTTTCTTGTTTGTTGGAGTATTTAAAGCCAATTCACTTAACACAAGTCACCAATGTTTCTAAAAGTTCAATTGAATTGAATGGATACCCGTAAAAGTAAATAAATACATATCACTGCTGAGTAAATCTGAGACGGTTAATTGCTTTACAGCTGATCTTTTCTCTTTTCATACAGAAAGAAAATTTGACTCATAATTTTGTTTTTTGGAAATAAATTAAAACTTATACCCGAATCTCCGTAAGTATTACATTGAGGAACGCAACAATGTTTTGTTTTTCTGCTTTTATTAAAAACAGGTTTCTGTACGTAATCGTGATCCATTTAATTATGTTTAAACTTATTAACTTCAACTCGAAAGCAGTGTCGTTCTTAGACAACTTCTAAATTTCGCCGCTAGAGGCGCGCGGGTAATCTTTGCATCGCTAATAATTATATAGGAACCTGTTTAATTCTCTCAATATACACAAGTCATATTAACAAAGAATCAGATATCTTAAGTTAACTTATAGAAATAAGCGGCTGTAAGTACACACCTGCGTAGTTCGTCAAAGAATAAAATGCGTGATATTACATTTATATATAATTTACATATTTTATTAACTCAATATATTATATTATATAGTGGTACCTTTTGTCTTCTTTAACAGAAGCTAATATTTATATAAATAACTTTTTAATATAATATTGTTATATATGCATACAATTTATTATATTATTGGCCGGTTATACAACTCTTATGTGTCTTTCATAAAATGATTTTAAAAAAATCAGCACTGCGACTTGTATGTAGTACCATATGATACTTATATAATTTTTCAGACGGTCTTTGAACCTCTGTAGTATACGTCTGATCCGTGACGTTGTCAAATACACACATCTACGCATTTATTTTGATTCGATTCTTATATACTGATTTATGACTGTGAAACCGGCCCTAAAAATATAAACTAGCATTTCTACGGGTTATATTCATAATTTTCATCTTCTATATAAATTAACTTAAACATTACGAGAATAACTAAATTGGTTGAGCTGATACGGATAGGAATGTGAACTACCGTTTTTTTCTCACTAGATGGCGCTAATCTAAAATGAATTATTTTTGACCAATCACCGTAGCTGTCAAAATTAAACGTCCTATGGTGTGATACTAGCTAATTCCGTATTGGACGAAGAACAAAAAGGTCATAGCAGCGACGTCTGGTGAGCTAACATACGGTAGCCCCCATTGAAGTACATTGAACTTAATATGAAATCCTCCCACGATATACCTAATGTTTAATAGACATTACATAAAAATGTCTTTTAAGAGTAAATTAATAATAATGCACTAATCACATACTTTTATACAATTCGCTAAGATTTTGCTAGAGAAAATTGAACCGCCATCTTTCACTACACAGTTGATTATTAATTGACAGGAGCATCGCATTTGTTCTGCCGAAATGGCGCCACGAACGATTACGCGTTAAATCCTGTCAATACTATTATTGTATATCTATAAAGTAAGCTATTTACCAATGTTTAGTGTAACTGGATTTTTATTTTTGCACTAACAAATGATGTTTCGTAATAGCACAATGTGAATGGTACTTTGGAATTACAATATAAAAAATATGTGTTTTCGATCCCGAAGCGATCCAAACGTCATATCTGCCTGTCATTACGTGAAAGGCCTTTACTCAGAGGGCTTAAAACGAGTTTGTTTTACGATTAACGAGATCGGAACGAAGCCGTATTCGGCGCTCTGATAGGCCGGCTCCAATGAACCACCAATCAACGAGCCGAACACGGTTTCGGTTCAATACTAAGCCCTTAGAAATAGACGTAACCTGACTGGTGATGAAGATATGACAATATAATTTTTAACTAAAGGTCTCTGCACACAGCGGGTAGCGGCGCCGCCTGACGACGTCACACAGATCCGTCCCGCTCGACGCGACGATAACCGACGGCGCGTCGCGCCCGCTGTGCGCCGAGACCTTAAGTCATTTAGGCGGTCGACTTCCAAAACAAAATTATGGGTAAAACTCATTGATAAATGATAATATTATTTATTACAATTGATTAGTTCTTTGGTAACGTCTACTTTGTACTTTCGACATGGTAATATTTTACTATCTACATAGCGATATACTTCTTAAATATTCATTATAATTAATATTATTATTCATTTTTTAATAAGAAGGCAAAAACTTATAATATCTATTTTCTTTAAAGTAGTTAAAGGAATTATATTGACAAAATGGTTTCCGAAGATCCATCTCTTGCCCTTAAAGTGTTTTTTTTACGAATATTTGTGTTACTTTTTTATTGTATGTATTTGTATGCTTGCTCGATATCTTTTCAATTACTATTGTATTGTTTCTCATTAAACTGTAGTCTAATTATCCGTAAGATTTTAACGCATGTACAGTACACCTATTTTTAATAAATTAATAAGATTTTAATTAAAGAAATCAAAATATTTTGTGACGTATAATTTCATTGGATTTATAATCAGATCGATGGTATAGATCTAAACTAATTTTATTATTAATTGAGTTTATAAACCAAGAGCGCAAAATATTTTGGAATGATTTCGATGCATGGAATGGTTGTAAGAGATTTATTTCTTCATTAACGTATGTTTTAACTATTCATATCGATCAGATATTACAATCACACACTAGCCTGTACTTTACCTATACGCTTTACACACACACCAACATTCCAATTACATGTAACTTTTTATGCATTTCATTTTATATTTAATAAAAAAAATAATACATCATTTTACAGCATGCAATAACTTACACAAATAAGCAATAATGATACAAATACACACGCGAATTAATGTACAAAGTTACAATTTGAACGAACAAAGAATAATACACGAACACATTTAAAACCTTCACACATCATCAATACATTAAAATTATCCTAACACACACAGTTACAGGTACCATTATACATAATAACATATAGTAAAACATACACTTTGGAATGGACGATATCCTCATTATTGAATCTCGATAGTGACTTATTAAACAAGGATTTTAATTAATTATATATTCATCTTAATTATTTGTGTTTAACGAGGTATCTCGACTGGTTACGAGCCACGATTGGGGCTCATAACTATGAGCAGCATTGTGCGGCGTTCACCGCGTCGTGAGTCGCCGTTAAACATAGATAATTAATTAATATGTAGAGTTATAATACAAAACAATATTTATAATACCTTTTTTAGCACAGTAGACTGATGGTGCCGTTGTCACTGGCGAGTAGTAGTAACCTATTGAGCGGTAGTACGGCCATACAGGTGAGCACGCCGCGGAAGGTGTCGGAGCGCAGCTTGGTGCTGGAGAAGCTGGCGTCGGGGCCCAGCGACGTGTGCACGCCCACGCGGTTGTTGGTCGTGCCCGACACCAGCTCCTTGTAGTACACGGACAGGCAGTGGACCGGCTCTGTGCTGCCTCTGTGGGATGAATTTACTTTTATTAGTAATTAACTCACCCGGCAAACTTCGTATCGCCTCAAATGTTTTTGTTTACCCGACTGTTTTCTCACTTTTTAAACCTTCCCTGGACTTCCACGAACATTTCAAGACCAAAATTAGCGAAATCGGTTCAGCCGTTCTTGAGTTTTAGCGAGATTAATGAACGAAAATTAATTTTTATTTATATAGAACAAGAACATATATAAACTTAATTTTCACATTTGTGTAGTGTTCAGAAAACGTACCCATAACTAAATTTAAAAAAATCACGTGGCGGCCCAAGTTTTATTATTATTTCTTTTAAAAGTGTAAAAGTTTCTGAAGTTCATATAGTCAAAAATCCAATATTTTTAACCGAACACAATCTCATACGTGGATTCAATTACAACTCCATACTTTACATTTTTTAAGGGGGAGAAATCATTGAATGACTGCTCCCGCCTGGGTGAGGCGGGAGGGAGTGTCAGACTCTTACTGACTAAAAACCACCCCGTTCCTTCTCCTGCGGAGCCGGAGCCGGAGCCCCGGTAACCCGTTAGGTTCTCCGCGACAACCATACTTTACATTAGCATTCCTTTCAACAAACTATTAAAACAAAGAGTACATACTTGAGATGTGCAATTAGTTCTCCATCGTCAGGTCTCCACAGAGCCGTGACCTGGTCCAGGCCTGAGCTGAGCAGTCTGTGCTCGTCTACTGTCGCCAGTCTCAATACCTATAAACAACAGAATTATACAAGATGGAAATGACACAATTAATTTGGTATTATATTTGAGAAATAATTTGTTTTGAGTTGTGGTATGCTTAGAAGATATATATAATACTATTGGTTTTAAATTGAAAGACAAAACAGCAATCTTGCAAATCGGTGTAGGTAAAATTTTATAGAACATAAACTACAGACCGTTAGGGAACTACTATGAGAGAGGTCCAATACTGTAGCCTTCCCCCAAATCCCTAATCTCGATCCCGAATCCCCTAAAGGACGGCAACATATTAGTAACTCTGCTGGTGTTGCGGGTGTATTTGAGCAGCGCCGATTGCTTACCGCCAGGTGATCCTTCTGCTCATTTGCCATCCTGTGCTACAAAAACTATTTCCTTTTTCCCAACCCCTACTTAAATCAGCAGGTCCAGCTTCAGTTTACATGAGGTTTAGACATACCTCTCCATCGTGCGCCTTCCAGACGGCGAGTGTGAGTCCGGTGCGCAGGTCGGTGACGGCGACGTGTCCGCTGGCGAGCCCGCAGGCCGCCCAGCCGCCCGCCGAGCTCACGCACATGCAGCGGATGAACGTTGTCGCACTCATCGGGAGCTGGGGGCCATGACACTAGTTTATAATTTTACTAGCTTTTACCCGCGGCTTCGATCTCGTCACAAAAGGATAAAAAGTAGCCTATGTGACATATACCAATACATACAGCGCCATCTATACCAATACTTTTGTTTTCCCTCGGGAATATCAAATTTTTTTGGGATAAAAAGTACCCTATTATTTAATCCGTCTGGATTTTTGCAGACGTAAAGTTAGTGATCTTACTAAAGTTAGTAGTCTTACTAACTTTACGTCTGCAAAAATTCTATGCAATCGGTTTAGTAGTTACGGCGTGAAGTCGGAACAAACAAACAAACTCACTTTCCGATTTATAATATAAGTAAAAACATTACATGCTTACAAATCCCAAGGAATATGATACTTTTAGAGGCAAATTGCTTAAAATATGGCTGACCAAATTCTCTTATACTAAACTTATTTTATCATCCTCGTCATCATATATCAACATCCTATAAGTGCTGCTGACTGCTGACCAAAGGCCCCTTCTCTCACGGAGAAGGTTTGAGCATAAATCGCCGTTTGTCAATGGCGTCTAGATAATCTTAGAAAGTGCATATAACTCGGAAAAAGTCACATTAGTACTTGCCATTACATTACATTTGTTTCTAAGATTCTTTAGACACCACTGACAAACGGTGAAGAAAAAACATCGTGAGGAAACCTGGACTTATAATTTCTAATTATAAGTTTGAAATCGCCAACCCGCATTGAGCAAGCGTGGTGATTAATGATCTAACCTTCTCCGTGTGAGAAGAGGCTTTGCTCAGCAGTGGGCATTTATAGGCTGTTGATGATTACATTACATTACACTCATGCATGTGAAGCGGGCGTCTTAAAGCTTCGAGCCACCACGACATTAACTTATTTTATAGAGACGTCGTGTTAAGTCTTTATCTGTTCATTAGATATTTCTTGTCTGAGTTACATAGCAACTTTTAGTAAACCAAAATTTCAAGTAGAAGCAAATAGTCTTTCTGGAGAAAAATTATCAAACTTTTTTTATTAAAGTATAATTAATTTGCCATGACAGTTTAGGTCTATTTAATTTATTTTTATCATAATTTTTCAGTTAACCTTGTTAGAATGTGTAAGATAATTCCGGCGTACCTTGAGCTCATGCGAGGTGTGGGGAGTGCGTGCGTCGATGACCCTGAGCGTGGCGTCCGTGGTGGCGGCCAGTACTGCGGCCGACGGGCCCGCCAGGGTGCGGACTATACTCACCGGACTCTTTAAGTTATCCAACTGTAATACAAGCCACAAAATATTATATACTACTAGCTGTTGCCCGCGACTTCGTTCGCGTGGAATACTGATTCACAGCTCATCCCCCGTAGATGATAGCGTGATAATATGTAGCCTATATATTGACCCGACCTGTTAGTAATATTCAGGCAAAATTGGAAGTAAATCCATGCAGTACTTTTGGAGATCATCCCAGACATACGTACAGACAAACAGACAATATTTTTAAAAACTATATTTTTGGCTTCGGTATCAATGGTAGACCACGCCTCATGTAATCTTTAAAAAAAATATTCAATGTACAGTTTTGACTTTTCTACGATTTTATTATATGTATATTATTATATATAATTGCGTAAAATAGTATGTATTAAAACGATATGGTAGTTCAAGAGATTTAATGCCCAAATACTGAAAAGCTACACAATTTTAACTTGTACTTATATATCGCGCCATCTCTGTCGTTTTACAAAGAACTGTCTTTGCTCGACCCTGGAATCGAAGCCGAGATCGTCTGCATTGCCTAGCAGTCGCACTTGCGACCACTCGGCCAACGAGACAGTAAATAAATAAATAAATGTATTTAACTCAATACCTGTGACACGACGCTCTCCATGAATGGGTCCCATATATGCACGACGGAGTCTGTGGACACGGCCAGACGGAGCGACTCCAGGAACGTCAGGGACAGCACGCCCTTCTTGTGGCCAGTATACGTCCAGTTACACTGAGACGTCGCGTTACCGTCACCCTGTACGGAGAAACACTTTAAACTTTCAGCTAAAAGGATGAGGAGAAGAATACGGCACTTGACAACCAGTCAAATTCAATACTTTTATTCAAACGTCAAAAACGATCCTGACGCCTTACTATGAGTTTAATTAACGAGTACGCGTTCGGCGCTCTGATTGGTTGGTTTGTAGCGACGCATGTCACAAGTCAACGGATGACGTCACAAGAATCCTGCATCGCACATGCAAAGTTTACAAGCGAATAAACACGGATAGAAAATCCCAACAAACAACTGTCGGGCAGAAAGCCCGCCCGGCACGATCACCTCGCCTGGTCGGAGGATCCTCCTTTTCCGATCTTAGGGAACTATACTCTCTGTTCCCTAAAAGTTCATTGGTGCCGGCCAATCAGAGTGCCGAACGTGAACTCGTTACGAATACTTTAAACGTAAAACAAATTCGTACTAAGGCTTCAGTTCTATGAATTTTGTACGAAATACCAACTTATGACGTCATTATAGTTATTTTCGCGTCAAATAACACACTTATTTGTGAAAAAAATACTAGAATAAATCGAAAATTTAGTACATATATTGTCAATATTTAATATTTAATTGGATTGAAAAATTAAAATATGTAATTTATTTTTGACCCAGGAAACTATCCCAATGGGCCTCCGGTAACCTCACTCGCGCGGTGTAGAAAACGAAAGCGTTGTTTCACGCTGGTTTCCTGTGAGGCCGTTGTATTACTCTGATCAAGCCGGCCCATTCGTACCAAAGCATGGCCCCCCACCTCATCTTTATTATATATAATTCTTCTGTGAGTGTGTATGTCACTGAACTTCTCTCAAACGACTGGACCGATTTTCATATTTTTTTTTGTGTGTGTTCAAGGGGATCTAGGAATGGTTTAGGTTCACAAATCAGCCCGGCAGATGGCACTGCAGTCGATGTTTAGGTTATTTATCCTAAACAGCTGAGCTAATTTGAAAGAATTTTTGTTTATACTTTCAAGTGGATATGCAGGACAACGTCTGTTGGGTCCGCTAGTTTCGTTATATAACCCTAACAAATTCCACTTCTCACCTGGTTCCTCAGCGACCACAACCTCACAGTCTTGTCCTTGGAGCCGCTCATGAAGCTGTTCTCGTTGTCCAAGCAGTGGATGGACTTGACGGAGTGGGTGTGGCCCACGAAGGTCTGCAACTTGATCTGCTTCAAGTTGAACCGGGTCTCCTTGTCCGGCCGACCTATCTCGTGCTCCCAGTAGATCAGCCAGTCACCACGTAAATGTCTAGGAACATAACACAACATCACCGAAGAGGTAGGCAGAGGTGCACATTATGCCATTGTATGGAGTGGGTCACTGAGACACTGTTGGCAGTAGGACAGAAAAAAATCGTAGTAAAAAAAATCATAATAAGGATCGTTACCCCGGCAAGAAAGTAGGTTTATTTATTCTATAAAAATTAAAAAAAAATCTTTCTTAAAGTATATTTTAAAGTACAGTTACGTGTAAACGTTGACAAATTTCTTCATAAAATAATATCCTAATTTATTTAAAAAATAACCCCGAAAAATCTGTTTTAAATATACAAGAAACCTAGAAAATTATAATTTAAACACACGTACGTACCTATTACTCTTAATCCCATTATCAGCTTTATAAGCGACGACATCGAAACCATGCGCGTGCGCACCACTGGCGACGTCACACGCATCACTAGCGACATCTATACGATTCCCGACTAATGTGACGTTGGACCCGAAACTGTTTGAGCTGGATATATGGTCCATGACCACATCAGATTTGCTTGAAGAATCGGCTTTTCGACTTAAAGGCTCATCACTGAATGAAAGCTGAACGCGCTTGTCTGGACGGATTTGAAGAGGAGAGCTGTAGGAAAATGGCTTTTGTAGTTATAGTGATAGTGCTTAGTTTTCTGTAATTCTGTAATACTCGATTAAGTAGTTAATATTATTTTTTGTTGTGCTTTGTATGACAGAACAGGTTTATGCTTTTCTTTATTGTTCATTAAAATGGGGAACTTGACATCTAAACATAACATAACATCACGCCTTTTATCCCCGAAGGGGTAGGCAGAGGTGTACATTGTACAATGTAACACCTACTTTTCACAATTTTTATGTTATGAGTCCAATGAAATACCTACTGAGATGTTTTGAAAAAAACCCAGTAATACTTTGCCCGACCCGGGAATCGAAGCCGAGACCTCTTGCCTGGCAGTCGAGCGCGAGGCAGTCTCGCAGCTCGCCAGTCGGCTTTTCGAATCAAAAGTCATTATTATTTTTAACATATTTAATAAGTTACCTGATACGATGGTTTTGTTCATAGTTTCTACAGAGTGCTCTGACGGTGTCTATGTTCTTGAGGCACCGCTCCATTGTGTCGGTCCCTATGGACATCACGAAGGTAGTGTATGCACGGTACGCTAATTCTTCGTCGAATACCATCAGTAACTCTTCTTGAGCCTACAACAATATATTGTAAAAAGTTCTTTTAGTTTTATGATGTTATTAGGTTTTATTTTATACCTCGACGGTGGCAAAAAAGTACACGGCCCACTTGATGGTACGCGGTTAACGTGGCCTATGTAGGCTTAACACTTTGAAATAACATAGGCCTTGCCGACCATTAAAAAACGTATTCACTCTCGAAATGAAGAACCCCATGTTGAAGCCCACTGGGGAAACCACGGCAGGGGTTGATTCTATTTAGATTATATCTTGACTAAAACTGCGGTAAAACGTTTGTCAACAAATCTATATATATATAACTTTAATCCTTACTTATATTATAAATCGGAAAGTGAGTTTGTTTATTTGCTTGTTTGTTCCGCCTTCACGCCGTAACTACTAGACCGATTGCTTTGAAATTTTGGATACGTAAAGGTAGAAGTGTGGATTAAATAATAGGGTACTTTTTATCCCGGAAAAAATTGATATTTCCTAGGAAAACCAAAAATATTGGTATAGATGGCGCTGTATGTACTGGTATAGATGGCGTTGTATGTCATGTAAAACCAGTCAACGAATTACCTACTTATTGGAAAAATCTAAATAGCGCGATATAACCGAATTCCAACGGTCTGCCTTGGTCGGTCGGTGTTGCCTGTCTTAAACGGCAGAACGGAGGTACTAATTAACGTGATTTTTTACATGAAGGTAGTTGAATGGATGGATAGTCACATAGGCTACTTTTTATCCTTTTGTGACGCAAGCGAAGCCGCGGGTAAAAGCTAGTAATATATAAAGCTGAAGAGTTAGTTCGTTGGTTTTAACGCGCTAATCTCAACCACTGGTTTGATTTGGAAATCTTTTTGCGTTAATAGTCCACTATAGGGAAGGCTATAAACCACGTTACGGTGAACAGCCGACAGCTAATGATACCACATGGGAGTAGCTACTTATGTACATTCTTACCTTTGTACGTTGTTTACAAACATTCTACATCGGTCTTGGACAAGGCAGTTAAAGATAAGATAAGTAAGAGATTATAGTATCGAAATACATTTTTCAAGGCATAGGTCGGAATACTCAAACGCTACTCAATTTTAAGTCGCGCTTAAATATAGTTCTGTCTCTACAAATTCTTTGTAACATTTTACAAATTTCTGTCATTACAGATATGGCACGATATTTAAGCACGACTTAAAATTGAGTACCTAACGTTTCAGTATTCCGGTAATATGGTGACAAACAAGCAAACGGGTTGTCTGATAGAAAGAAATCGGTTTTTGTCGGCTTTTAAGGGATTTAGGCGTTTGAAGGAATTCTTTTATGGGATAAGCCGGTAAAAGAGCTAGCGGATGGTAAGCAATCGGCACCGCCCGCGGACACTCGAAACACCAGGGGCGTTACAAGTGCGTTGCCGGCCTTTTGGGGTTTAGGTACTTGAGGATCGTTGGGGATTCGGGGATTGGGAAAATTTGGAAGGGGAGTAATGGGGGCTACCGTTTTTTTAATCACCAGATGGCGCAAATGTACTAAGATATTTTTTGTCCAATCACCGTGACTGTCAAATACTGAACGTCTAATAGTCTAGTTAATTTCATTTTGACGGAAAACGAGTGAGACACACAAGTGCCCTCTGGTGACAAAAAATACATTGGGTTTCCGATAACCTAACTCACAGTCGTTATGCAAAATATGCAATATTGAGTTACTGACCGTCAGCCGGGTAGTATCGTTGCTATGGTCCGATATATCAGGCGGCGTGCAGGCGAGGTCGGGTATGTCGGCGCGGACCACTCGTCCGTCCTGCACGCGCCACTCCGCCGTGCTACCGTCGCGACATATCTCCAGGAACCCTTCCGGCTTTGCATCGGGCGGCTCTTGCTCTGATGCCTGTAGGAAAAAAAGATTTTTGATTTTAAATATACAAAATATAATAATCTTTTATCGTATTAAAATAGTTTATTATTCGTATAATATTTAGTATTTTACTAGCTGACCCGGTGAACTTCGTACCGCGTAATACTATAACCTACTCTATCCCACTCTACCCTACTCTACCCTACTCTACCCTACTCTACCCTAATCTAACCTACTCTACCCTACTCTACCCTACTCTACCCTACTCGACCCTACTCTACCCTATTCTACTGTACCCTAATGAAAAATAGACTATCCTATCTCTCAAGTTGGATCGAACTGCACATGGTGTGCAACTTTTATTAAAATCGGTTAAGTGGTTTAGGAGTCCATTGAGGACAAACATTGTGACACGAGATTTATATATATTAAGATTTAATTTATTTTTGACCCAGGAAACTACCCAATTATCATCATTGTCCTACGGATGTCAACAAGTGTTGATAGGAGATGATGTTCTTACCTTCTCCGGTGCGGTTTCTTCTTGTTTCGGCCAGTTGTCAATCTTGCCAGTTGCTTTATCGAACGCCAAGAAGAATCTAAAAACGAAATGAAAATGACAAACCGTTTATATAAATGTAAAGTAATAATAAGCAAAGTAATAATAATAATACGTTAGGAGAAATAATATATTATCCTAGTTATAAGCATTTTTGTAATTAGTTTTATTAAATGTAAGATTTTAACTTTATTATATTGTAAAATTTAACTTTGCATGCCGAAAACAGTAGGCGATGTATGTGGGACTATTTTTTTATAATTATTATTACCTGTAATTACCATACTTCGTGCAAATAAACGTTCTTATTCTTATTGTTATTAGCCTTTGCCAGCGGCGTGTCCCGCGTTGGGGAGGATAAAAAATATGCCTATACAGGGTGACTTGTAACTCGACGTATTCCTCTCATGAGGTGATAATACAACTAATTTCTTACAAAATTAGTCCTGAGGTCTCTGGTCCGAAAGTGGCTAGTTTCTGAGATATTCAACATTTTCGGTTTTAGTGTAAAAATCCCGATCGAACTACAAATAAAACACATACATCAATAAATAAAAAACTACTGGTTTGATTTAAGTGATTTTAGTTTTAATTTGTTGTCAATACATCAATATTATTAGCACCTCCCGAGAGGAATAAGTCGAGTTACAAGTCACCAAGTATGTTATTCAAGACATATACTGACAGACAAGACTGAGAAGACTGTCTCGACGGCAAGGTTTCTCGGGTTCTATTCCCGGGTCGGGCGAAGTACTACTGGTTTTTTAAAAATAAAATCTCAGTAGAAGCACGGAGTCTGGAAATGTGCCCGGTATATAACAATAGGCTCACCTATTACATTGGACTCATAACATAAATAGTAAAAAGTGGGTGTTACATTGTACAGTGGCATAATGTGCACCTCTGCCTACGCCTTCGGGGATAAAAGGCGTGATGTTATGTTATGTGTTATTCAAGACCATAATTGACCCCTGCTCTAAATTCCATCCCGATCCTTTCAGCCGTTTAGACGATTGAGTAATAAACGTACACTCAAACCCACAAACAATCGCATTTATAACATTAGTAAGGTAAATCAAGTATTTGTTCACCTGGAACAAAAACAGGACTTTGCAGGACCACTTATAATAATAATAATAATTCCAATTTATTTCAGATAATAAAACTACATTAAAAACGAATTCAGGTTCAAAATTATATAAATAAATTAACAAATTGACTTTATAGCAAATATCATAAACTAGCTTCTGCCCGCTGTTACCGGCCAAACCCGATTTCAGGACAAACTAGTTTTGCCTAGGCTAAACTAGTTCTTCCTATACGCGTTAGGATTAACTAGTATAGCCTAGTTCAAACTAATTTGTCCTAAGCCCGATAGGATAAACCAGTTTAGGCTAGGACAAACTAATTGATCCTGATATAAATACGCACACTCTAGGATAAACTATCTAACTAACTATCCTAACGCGTATAGGAAGAACTAGATTAGCCTAGGCAAAACTAGTTTGTCCTGAAATCGGTTTTGGCCGGTAACATATATATATAGATTTAAAATAGTAATCACTTATGAGGTGACTAATTTTCCCTACCCAGGCTTCTCTATATATCCTATTTCCTCGACTCACCTTTGCAAAGCCGGTACACAAAGATGTCTCCTGGTCATCTCCGGTCCTATCCTCAGCGCCAGTACATGCAGCGCGTCCAGCAGCTTCCTAGTGAGTGAGCTCCGCGCTGCAGCGCCGCTCGGGTACGAACAACGAGTCGTCGACGCTAGGCGGAGAGCTGGTTGCAGGATTGATTTTAGGAATGTGTCCTGGAATAAATATGAATGAACTGGGTACTTTCCTTAATCAAAAACAAATTATTTCAACTGTACAATACAATAAAATATTAAAAAATAGTCGGTCATAAAATCAATCAATGGAAGTGTGATACTTCCATTGATTGATTTATTATTTTATGACCGACTTAATTTTAGTATTTTTTCAGCAATATTTTTATCGATTTATAGAGAACCGTCGTTTTTGACAGTTCGAAAATAGTATTGAATTTGACTAGTTGGCAAGTACCCCATTGAAAATAACGATTTACTCGCGTATATGATTGAGAAAAGCTCTAATAGTTGCAGTCACAACCTGCATCCGCTAATGCGTAATAATTTCAAAATGAAATGTAGCCTATGTCAAATTGGAAGAATGTAGCATTCTATTGGTGAAAGATTTTTTTAAATCGGCCCAGTACTTTTTGAGCCTATTCATTACAAACATACAAAAATAGGTACAAATCTTTCCTCTTTATAATATTAGTGTAGATAAAAGGCGAGTTAGTGAAACTTTTACAACAAACACAAAACTTCATAATTATACCATATATCATAAAGGATTCATACCTGCAACTGCTCCATGAGTTTGACATCAGACATATGCGGCAGTAAGTATTTCACGAGCTGTAGACAGGCGACCACGCCGCCCTCTAGCGGCGCGGACAGGCGACGTCGACACGACGCTATCAACTCACCCATGTGAGGTAGGTATTGGAATATTATTAGTTGTTCCCCGTACATCGCTGGAAAAGGAAATATAGAACTTTTAATTAGCAAATTGTTATTAATATGTTTATTACCTGAGGGATACTGTACTTCAATAGGCCGTAAATGATAGCAGAAATGTTATTAAATACCTATTTATTCAATAATACACTTCGATAATCCTAACAGCGCCAAAATTTCTGTGAAGTTGGTAATCCTCTGTCGTACCGTCTTTAGAAATAACCAGAGTAAAATTGGTCTAATAACTGTCTTGGTTCCCGCAACGAAGTGAATCAGAAGATATTATAAGAGAAGAAGAAATAAAACCATAGTTTCCACTTAGATCATTAAAATTAGCAAAAGTACACAAATAAAGCTGCAGTTACTCACCCACAATAGAAGTGAGGCACTTGATCACCTTCATAGCGTTTCTATCGCCAACCACTCGGCTGCTCACAATCGATATCTCATCAAATTCATCTCTATCCTCACTGTCCCACGGCGCCAAGTTATCCTTCCCAATATAACATAACGTTAACATCTTCAGTAAATTCCTTGTTATATACCGACAAGTAAGTACTGGGCCTAATCTATGCGCCAACCAAATTAAACTTTCAGAACTCATATCAGAAATTTTGGACGTGTTGGGGTCTTTAAATCCTTGGAAATCTTCATCGTTCATACTTCGAGACCCTTTAGCTGACCTCTCCATATGCTTCCCTAGTTCCAAGTTTATCTGTGGCTCGTGAGATTTCCTCCTCAGTTCTACCTCAGAATCATCTTCCTCTGCGAAATGTAAGTAACTTGTAAACATCGGCTTTGTCGGTATTTCTATAGTTGGAGACATTGGTTTGTTGGAAGGTGTCATTGCTTCGTGATTTTGATCTCTATTTTGTAGCGGATTTAGATCCTTTTGGGCTGCAGCATTTGCTGTGAAGTACTTAGTGGATATTGGTGAGACATGGTCTATTGAAGGCGAGGGAGTGTGGATGTTATCTTGAGTGTTCGAGTTGTACGAGTCTATTGACTCCGCGGGTGACTTGCTTCTACTACTTCTGCTGGGCAGCCTGTCCTTATCAGTCTCGAAGTGGAACAACTCATTTTCGCTTCGATTATCACTGTCTTTCTCCTTCAAACCTTCGTGAGTCTCAGTTTTCTCGACCCCAGGGGTCGTTACGTGTTCAGACCCGTACGATGTGTCAGGTGAAAATATATCCGTATTACTGGACAGCGCATTCTTCACATTATCATCAGAATATCTCGGCTTTTTACTGGATAATGCTTTGTTGTGACACAAATGGCCTGGAGAGCCAGCTTCTTCTGTTACATCCTTGTAACCACCAACAGCCTCAACTAGGTGCTGTGTGAAATTGTCCAGGAAACATTGGAGCCCTAACCTGACCATGAGCTGAAGAAGGAATATATTGTGGTAGAGCTTCACAAACTTCTGTTTGTTCGACACTCCCCCTGCGAGAGTGCCGTCGATGTCGGTCAACTTATGCTGGTCAGGTTTGTCCACAGCAAAGTCATCGTCTTCGTAAAGGTTCAGAATATGTTTGAGAAGCTTCTTCCTCGTCTCTGCGGGCCCCAACGCTTTGCTGACTGTGTCGAATAAGTACCACGCGGCTAATACTGACGTGTCCTTGTTCTGCAGTAACTCGATATAGTGGGAGAGGAAGATGTCTAAGACATCGAACTGATTATAACAATTTACTTGGTTTAACAGAACTTCTAAGTATGTAGCGCACGCTTGAATCTTTCCTTCAGCTATTTTCTGGTTAAAATATAGCTTCGTTTTGTCCACATTTTGATATTTCTCGCACTGCACCCCATCACATTCATACGTATAGAGAATGTTTAGCTCCGTGCTTGTGAGCTCGTATTCGTGCAGCGTATTCAACAACTTGTATAAAATATTAAAGCTTTGAGGAAACGGTATCAAATGCTGCATCAATAAAGGTTGCAAAAGCTGCGCCGGAGTGGGAGCTGGCAATCCTTTATCAGTTACCAAAATCTTCTTCATGGGCTCCTCCTTTTTTGGGGTCAGTTCGTTTTTGTAACTCAAACTGAGGGGTTGAACGTTTAGAAGTAATGACGCTATGTAACTAACACTTCTTGGCAACGCATTGAAATTGTATTTTAGTACTGTCCGGCAGTTGTTGTAGCGTTCTAAGAAGTTATCATTGGCGGTTCGAAGCGGACGCATGTAGCTATGTAAAAATATTTCCACGATCAAACACCCTATGACTAGCATATCCTGACGTCTACTTTCTGTAACAAACTGCTTGTAGATCGCTGCATCTGTCGTATATCTAGTATTGAATGTCCTATTTTTCCTCTCCTTGAGAACACTTTCCAAATGCGCATCCTGAGTGAACTTCTTCAAATAACTCTGGTCATAGGACGCTAAGAACATGTGATTTGTGAATGCAGTATCATCAGATCCTTCCTTCGTGGACACCGTACTATCCTGCCTCATGTCCTGCTGCACCGGATACAAGTTTAAGGTGGTGACATTTTCTTTATGTTTCTCCTTATCTTCAGCTTTGGTGAAGAAGCATTTTGTCCTGAAATTGTCGAGGGATTCTATCGCCTGTATGGAAGCTACCGGGTTGAACTCTTTGGGGAGGTATATAACACCTTTGCCGAGCTCTGATCTTTGGACCCTGTAGTGCCGGGAGTGGGAGGAAGCTCTGCCTTCCATGGGGACAGTCTGCGAGTCCTCAAGTCCTTGGCTCTTGGACAGGGAGCGAGCTCTACTGCTGCTTTTGTGTCGAGACCTGACGCGTTGTGGAGGAACGTTCAACCGCGACACGTGCTGAGGAAGGCTGGTCGACTCCTCTTCATCATCAGACACGTCATCTGAACTGTCGTTTCTGAGGGACTTTTCTGTGGACAATTATGTTTAATGTGATGATCTTATAGTGTTATACACGAGTGTCAAATAATACAGTGAAACTTGGTTAAGTGGGACCTGGATAAGTGAGAAACCTCCATAACTGGAACTCATGCTGAGGTCCCAACACTTTGGCACTGAATAACCTCTGTTAGTGGGACGAGGTAAACCTCTATATCTGGGATTTGTTCTTTCGATTTATCATCATAGTTACCTCTATAACTGAGACAGCGAGTAAATTTTATATGCATACACCTCTGTAACTGAGATAACATTGTTTGTTTACTCATTCTTATTCTACCCACAAATTTCACACGTAATGCCAAGTCCACCTCTATTAATGGAACCCTCTGTAAATGAGACAGATATTTATTTATACCTGTATAACTGAGACACTTGGTAAGTGGAATACCTCTATAAGTGAAACGACATTGCAGGTCCATTGATGTCTCACTTAACCAGGTTTCACTGTAATTGATTACTTCGGCTGTTAATTATTATTAACTGTTAATAACATTTGTTTAACTTAAAGTCTATTTTACTTGAACTTATAAAACTGTTCTGCACTTGTACTTAAGCATAAGTTAAGATTAGACCACAAATTAAGTTGTTCTTAAAGCAGCTTAAAATCTTATAGAAAATACTTACTAGCATCCTTAGGTGCGGTCCAGTGTAGGCGCGGGGGCGCGGGAGGCAGGGCGCGGGGGGCGCGGGGCGGGTGGGGCGCGGTCAGTAACTGCACCGCGCCCCCGCGACGGATGCGCGTGTGTCCGTCTACCAGCGACAGACAAACGTTCTTAGCTTTTACTGACGCAGCGCCTGATAATCTGGGGAGAAGAATAGATTATGATATACTGTAGTATGCAACACTTAAACTTAAAGTCTCTATTCGAAGGATTTTAGTACAGGCGACATTGTCATTTCGATAGAAAATGTTCGTGAAACGCCAAAAATTGCCGATAAACAATATTAAATTAATTAGACATTTTTGTTTGTAAAAACAAAGACATTTACGGCATGAATCACTTTAACCATATGCATAAAGTGGTGAATCATGAGGAAGAGTTCCTCTGTGAATCGGAACTTTTCTCAGTACATTTACGTAAATAACTCGTGATGTGGTCGCAAGTGCGACTGCCGGGCAAGGGGTCTTGGGTTCGATTCCCGGGTCGGGCAAAGTATAACTGGGTTTTTTCAAAAAATCTCGTAGTAGCACGGAGTCTGGTATAGAGCCCGCTATAGGGCAATACGCTCACCCAATTGTTACATTGTACAGTAGCATTAAGTGCCGTAATGTACACCCCTTAGGGGATAAAAGGTGAAACAAGTGAAACAAGTGAAAGTGAGTGAAACAAGTGAAACAAGTATATTAATATAATCTTTAGTTAATTCAGTATGTCTAACGAAAGTTATTATAAGAGAGTTATTTCCTTACATCTTCGGTTTATTTAACACAGAATTGATTTTAGACATCATTCACTCACTTGTATCCAAAAGTGATATCAATCCAATGATGCAAGTTCTCCGACACATGCGTACTCTCTAATGCTTCTCTATGTTTCGTTATAAAGTCCTCCACACAGGTCGCCCACGACGGTATACCTAGGTCCTAGAATTAGTCAAATAATTAAATACAATGATTGAGCATAAAAATAACTATGGCAGGTGAATAGGCCCAGATGGAAATGAAAGTGGACTGTATTTCACAGGTATATAATTATTAGGTGTTGTACAATGGTCCAAAGTTATAATAAAATCATGCCATCGTGGTCGCGTTGTTGTAAGGAGTGTCGAGAGGGCGCGGCTCGTCGCTGAGCCGTCGCGTTACCAAGCCGCCGCTCCCCTCTCTTGATGAAGCATGTGTGCATCGGAGGTGTTAACGTGTGCGTTAACACAGGTATACATATTTTACAAGATTGAAATAAGAATATTTTACTTTTAATACTATCAAAAAAATCGTAACATAAATCAATCAATCAATCAAATCAATATTTTTAGGTGTCCATTACACTAAAAGACTGGTTTAAAATGAATAGTGTAAACAGTAGAATACGAATGTCGCGAAACTTGCGCATGCGTTACTGCTCTTATGAATTTTCATTTTGCTTCTTATCTGATTTTACTTACCGGAAGATCTTCATGTATGCTCTTAAACACAGTGGGGTCTGTGTAGAACTCCGGTATGCACTCGTCTGGGGTCCATTCCTGCATGCGTTGAATCGACGCGGGATATTCAGCCGGCACCCATTTATTTCTCACATATTTACATAAAACCTCCTTAGGTGTTCTAGAAAAATAATACCATCGTTAAAATGTGATACAATTATATAATTTTTTTTTTATACTCAAATGTAAAATCCACTTAATAAAATTATCTATTTTTGCATACATATACACTTTCTTTTATCTTCAAACAACACTTTAAACATTACAAAAATACTAATTTATTCAAAACTCATTACACAGTCAATGACATGAAACACTTTAATGGTTAAAACAAAAAACCACATTGAAAATAACATCTATGAACTAAACTAAGTCAATTATCATTATTAGTCAAGGAAAAATAAGTCTTATATACTGGTTCATTAAGGTAATTTTCGTACAAACCTGCGCGCCAGGTAGACGTAGCAAGTTATATCAGAGAGGGCGTCGGAAACATGGTGCGGTATCTGGTCGGTGCAACTGCTGACGTCATAGGTCATGTCTAACTGTCTGTCACCCTTATTCAGCCGGTACTTCGACTTGCTTAGGTCTCGCCAGTTTCTACCTACAATATTAAAAAAATTACGATGGGTATATTATGTTATGTTATATTGCTATTAGAATTCAGTATGCTGCACAATATTTGTGTGGTCAGCTGACATGCTGTTATCCATCACTTCTTTATAACCACTTGACAATTTCTTTTCTTCTAATATAAAACCAACCATAGATTAGATGAGTTTTTAATTGGGAGAAAATAACCTTTTTTTGTTACATGTGTCAGTGGCTGATACTGTTCACTTCACTAAGGGACTGGCACAGATGTTTACAGCATTTCATAATACAACTTTCTCAATTATTTTACAAGTTACTAACTGAGAGGAAATTGGTCACGAAAATCTGTCACTGACTTATGGACTACCTATTTATTAAATTCTATGAACATAGAAATCAAGAATACACTTGTAAAACATAGAAAATATAAATCAAGTTACCAACAATTCATTAGAAAACAGAACAAAAACGAATACTGTTATCATAAGCAGAAAATTGGCAGTTTTGCTTTATAAACATCAATCTAGAAATATCTACATATTTATCTATTTCATTTAAAATTTATTCAACCTACTTTGTAATGTACTACATCTAGCTATTTGTATACAAAACAAATATTACTGATAAATTTATGAGCATCTGTGTGACAGATAACAATATGAATCATTGTAATATACACATTTTTATCACACAAACAAAAGCATTATTCTACACAGACTTACCACATCTAGACGAGAAATCAGTGACCCACGGGACCATGAAGTGGGCTTGTGGATCATTGGTGGCTCTTCCAGCCAACATATTCAGGTGTAGCAAATAGTCAAGGTTAGATATCCTTCCTCTCACCCACAACATACACAGCTTCTCCAGCTGAACGGCCTCCTTGCGCCAACACCACTCCTCTCCCCTTTTCCCAGGAGAAGCCTGACTTATTGCAGGAGTGGTCTGTTTACTTCTATTGTGTTCAATAATCAGGGAAGCATCCAAACAATGTATATTATTAGTTATCGTTGGTAAAACCTGCAGCCACAAATTCTCAGACAAGTAAATATCTAGAAGGGTCAACATCCCCAAGCTTAGCCCTCTGTCACTCATAGCTTTAGACAAGTTCAACAGTTGGTACACTATGAACAAGCCTCTACTGTAATTCATGTCTATTAAGTTTGGACTGAAGTTCAGACAGTCTAGGAGGGTATTCTCATATTGTGCCCTGTATATAACATATAAGTTATTATCTGTTTCTATAGTAAATATGGCTGCTAGCAGGTTGCCATGAGTTTCATACATTTTTAAAACATGTTTATTAGGTATTATCTCTTTGTACTCTATGTTTTTTCCAGCTCCATCACACTTTACCCTAATTATATTACACCCATACAAGCGGAGCACTACCTCAGACATCAACTGGTCATGCTCCAATAGGTTCACTATGGTACTTTCCTTACTGCTATCATTATTTTGACAATATTTCTTGTATGCTTCTTTCCACAGTGTTCTTTGGTTACTCTGTGACACATATTGTAAGAGTTGGGAGAACGTAAGGGGAGTCTCGTTTGTGTTTTCGTTAAGCTTATAACGAGGTAAAGGAAGAACCTTGGACACTTTTTTACTCAACACCTAAAATGCAAAGGTTTTCTTATTAGAACGTCTTAAAATAGAACAGCAATATTTTTATAACAATAGATAATTCACATACCCTCATAAATATTTTTCGCCACGGATAAGGTACACTTTCACCAGGTTGCAAGGTAAAATCTACATTGTTCAGCGAGGTATCTATTTCGATGTTTTTTATCCATTTTTTCAACCAAGCTGTGTGAACGACAACGGAGAACAGGCCAGGGGATGCAGTTGGGAATATATTCTTATTACTTATACCTAATTCCTTAACTATATAATCCATCTCTAAATATTTAATGATGTTTTGTTTTGTTTTGTTGCGTACAAAACTGCAGTCATTATCAATTTTGACATTTCCTTGTGATTGACATTATGATTTAATGATGACATTTTAAATCCGGGTTGCTAATGCAAAAAAAGGTTAAAGGTTTTGAGGGAATCAAGAACGTTGAAAAAAGGCACGGGAAGATTAATCGGTCAATAGCTGTAATATTTTGTAGCAATTTACAAGAGTCCCTTAGGTACTTTAGAAAAAAAGTCACAGTAAGTTTTAATCTGTTTAACTGCTGTAAGTTAAGGTCTAACAAAATCTTCTTTCAATACCCTGCAAACCTGATACATAAACAATCAATAAAATGTAAACCTGATATCACGCATATTTTCCCCAGTAATAATAACATTAAATGGAACACACATTTCTGGCTAATATATTATGACCTTTCAAACTGTATACCTAGTTTGAAAGGTCATATATTAGCCAGATTTAGGAGGAGATTTGGAGCCAGATTAGGAGATGTAGAATTAGGAGTTGTTATTTAATTTTCTGAGTATTCATAACAACTCCAAGACCATCTCAACAGAAGTAATTACTTAGACTTGACTCGACTTACATATAAGAATGTAGTAAAAGAAAACAATTTTGTATGAAATTAGTTACTATAATAACATAAAATAACATGAATAATGAATACAATACATTTTCTTATACTCTATGATAAATCTTGAATATTTTAGTGTTATAACACCACCTATGTAATGTAGGAATGTAAAGGCACTATAAATTGGTTGTTTTAGCACCAAAGTTATTATTCTACAACCTTTATTTTATCACAATATATTGGTCCCCTATACAAAACACATGCTAAATAACAGAGATATTCATAATTCTGTAACAACATTCATAATAAACTTATTATAACATGATATGTCTCATAACGAAAATTTAAAAGTTGTCTGAAATATAATTTGTCTTAACAGATAGATAGCACATCAAAAGAATACAATTTTATTTTATTCTAGTTTTCCAGAGACTCTCTTCAAGTAACATTTCCACAGAGTATCTTTGTAAATTACTGCTTGAGCTTCTGGGCTTTTGGCTGCCACTATGCCTCTCCCCACAACTATCACATCACCTCCTTTCTCCAAGATGACCTTCTCCGGAGTATTGTAGACCTGGCCCAAATCATCTTTGCTACTCTCCAGCTGTACTCCTGGGGTTAGCTGTATAAGACCTGGATCTTTGAAAGTGTCTTTGTTTTGGCAAACAAACCCAGTAATCAATTCTGGATATTTTGATGCCATGGCCACGGTTGCTTCTTTGTAATCTGGTGTTATTAGATTTCCCTGAAAAGTAAAATTAGTAATTAATATTTGAATGATGAATACCTGTTAGATTTGATTAGTAATAAGAAATTTTACCTCACTGCTCATTTCAGCCAGCAGAAAAACTCCTCGATTGACACCATTTGATGAACTGAGAGCTTTCAGTATGCCTTCACCAGGCAGAGAATGGGCAGTCACACAATCAGCCCAGTCCCCTACTTTGTACAGGCCTTTGGAATACTGCAGAGAGACAGTATGACCAATATCAGCATACTTTCTATCTTCTAGTATCAAAAAGTTGAATCTATCTGCCAGTTGTTTGATTCTAGTGATGAAATCACTAGTATAGTCCTCAATGATGTCTGCATGAGTCTTCACGAGACAAACATGTTCACCAACTTTTTCTAGAAGGTCCAGGATCTTCGTAGCCGATGTCAAATCAACTGACAGACACAAGTTGGTTTTCTTTGTTGCTATTATACTGAATAGCTGTCTAGCCACCCCATTTTTAGCGAGTTCAGCTCGCTTTTCATAAGTCAGCGACATTCTGTCCAATGGCTTTTCTGTAAATACAAATAATAATTATTTAATGTTATTTAAAATTTCTATAATTGGTTTTTGTCTTCCCCAAGCTAGAGAGGTCCATGAGAATTTACCAATGATGTCAAAAATGCAATTCTATTAGTCACTTCTTTCATTTCCAAGTAACATGTGTATTTGCCATGAATGTAGATAAATATTATCAGTAATGCTAGGCAAGAACATTTTAATAAATTGATTAACTGAATAAATTAACATACCAATGACTGGAGCCTGTGTCTCTTTCAAGTACAACTTCACTTTAGTCACAGTCTCCTCAGTAATCTTTCCATTTTTTACCAAAATATCAATCAGAGATGACATTGTAAACAATGACTTGACTTGCACATCATCAACTTCAAGATTTTTGCTACCGCCTTGTTCCCTATCCAATATAATTACTGCATCTGTGACTGTCAATCCTTCTTTACGTAGATCTCGCACCGTTTCCAACACACTTGACCCAGACGTAACCACATCTTCGACTATTAAGCATGACTGGCCAGCTTTATAATGCCCCTCGATCGATTTCTTAGTTCCATACGCCTTTGTTTCTTTTCGTCTCATGAGCATAGACTTCTTAGTCAGTATGCTGAGGATTGTCGCGATAGGCAAAGCTGTGTATGGCACTCCACACACGTGGTCATACTTTAGATCTTTCATTGCAACTTCTAGTAACAGGTTTGATATTGATTCCTGTAAAAAAGAATATTATTATAATGAATGAAAAAAAAATACACTTTTGCCACCACATGCATTTAAATGTCAATAGGTATCCTCAAGACTTAGGGGCGGAGAAGGTATAGAGTTAATGACACTTATTATATTAAAATCTTACCATAACATCAGGATAACTGACTATAACCCTCAAATCAAAATAAACAGGTGTTTTGATGCCGCTCTTCGTTGTAAACTCTCCAAACTTTACAGCATCTATCGAAAATAGTTTAATTGCTAGATCAACTAGTTTTTTATCGTAAGACATTTTAACTTTTGGCTATTTAAAATATTTTAATTATAAAAATTTATTTAAATTGTAACACGTGAACAGCAACAAGTACAAGTTTACGAAGTTTTTGGCAGCGGAGGGAATTTATTTTTTAATTTGACAACTTTTTGACAGTTCTTTTAATAGTATTGCCAACCCTGATTTTATAAAAATTAGTAGAAAATTTCCCAAAAATCGTTCGAATTGATCGAATTAGTCGAATTTAACATAAAAATCGGTAAATGTTATAATGAAATGAAACATAACGTGAAGAGTAGAGAAACACATAAAAAAAATATGTTACTAGCTTCTGCCTCGCTCGCTTTCCCGTGGGATAAAAAGTACCTAGTCCATGTCATATGTTATTCCAAACGGTCCAGACCATCAACTACCCATGTTCCACACACAAATTTTCAAGTTACACAAAGTTACACAAATTTTCAAGTTTCAAGTCACACAAAGTTATATGAAATGTTTATGTATTTTTTTCAGTTACGTCCCTTTTCTGCATCCGTCCTTGCCCAAGACAAATATTTTCACTTATTGCGCTGTCAACTGTCAAGTGATTTAAGTGTCATGTCAATTCAGTACTCCGATCTGACATTTATCAAATCTTGAATCTTCTGACTTCTGTCATTTTCAAAACGTTATCAGTGGAGGGTGCGCGTCTAGTTTTCTTGAATATTTATTTTATTTTCGTAATATTTTCACAGGTGGTTATTTATTTTGTGCATCATTTACTAAATATTGTTTGTAAATTTAGTTTGGTGACCTATTACATTTCAATAGTGTTAGTATATCTCATAATGTTATTCATATTTAGAGGAAAACTTTGCTTGTAGAACTTTTTCGCGCGCATAAAAATAAAAATATGTCCAAGTGTTTTTGTGGGGGGATGTTGTTGTGAATGTGAACAGTGTACTATTATTATTAGTTCAATGTTAAAACCCGCTTTGGGTCTCAGGTAGAGGATTTTGAATCAATGTCGGGCTCGGGCAAGGTAAATCCACCCCTCCTATCGGCCCGAACACGGAGTGGGGTTCCCTCCCCTCCTTTAGGGAAGTTTGGGTAGACAAAGGGTAGTCACCCCTAAGCGGAGGGGAGCTTTTGGGCCTTGGGCGATATCCGTTGGTAGGGGAAGGGATCACAATTTCAAGTTCAGTTTTTTTTGGCCCTTGCCCTTTCTAACGGTTGTGCGCGTGTGGGAAAGTTTCTAACGACAGCTTTATAACAATTTTGTCTCAACAAAATTTTTGATTTCTCTCTTCAGGTGACATTTAAATTAGGAACCAATAACCATGGACAGTAATAATCGTATGTATTTTTTTTTTGTTTATTGTAGTTATTTTTTATATTATATTTTTAAATTTATTAACTGATAATATTTTTGTAGAGCCAGTACCTGACTTGGAAATGGCAATTAAAAGAAGTATGTTAGCAAAGAATAAATTAGCTATGATTGTGAAGCAGCCTAGTGGTGATGTCAACTACTCCTGTGTGGAGTGCTCATCACTGTTTTTATATAAAGAAGACCTTGAACAACATCTACTCCTTCATAACAGAGAGTATAGATACCTCTGTGGGATATGTGGAACTGGGTATGTATTAATCTTATTAGTTAATTATTAATTTATAATTTTATATTTCTTATGTGAGAAATTAAATTGTCTGTAAAAATATGGTTATCTATGAGCTATTGATGGCTATATAATTATTATTATTTCATTGTTATTATTTTTCATAGACTCTAGAAATATTTTTTTTACCAGTAATAATAAAAGCACACTAGAACATAAATTAAACATTATTAACCATAGATGTAACAATAAAAAACATAAACAATCTATTATGTTTTTTCAATATAAATATTTTATTTTTCTTTTCCCGCCAAAAAAGGTTGAAACGCAAGGAGCATTTGGACAGGCATACCTTAGAACATCAGGAGGTTAGGCCTCATATCTGCCCTCATTGTGGCAAGGGTTTCAAGAGAAAAGAGCATATGACCATCCACCTCTCTATCCATGGCGGAGACAAGAGTGAGACCTGTCCTGTGTGCCATAAAAGTAAGTGAAAAAACAAAATTTTTCTTCTCAATATGTTTCAGTTGGTGAAGATGTCTTTTTATGTTAACACATTAAAAGCCATGGGGGTCACCAGTGACCGACGTTAGCAGAGGATTTACCTTCAACAGTTTTTTATTGACAGTCAAAGTCTTAATTACTAGTTAAGGAGTAATAGTTTGCTTTCATTTGTTGTGTTAAAAAATAATTTAAACAGGTTCACTATTAATAGACAAAAAGGTGATTGGTACCTATGACTCATCAGATTTGTAGTTAGTACTTTTTTGTTAATTATAAGCAATAGGTTCCCTATTACATGGGACTCATAACATAAATAGTGAAAAGTGGGTGTTACATTGTAATGTGCACCTCTGCCTACCCCTTCGGGGATAAAAGGCGTAATGTTATGTATAAGTTGCTCCACACTAGAATTTCCTTGCGTCGTGGGGGCATTTAGAATCATGCTTGTAAAGTATTGTTCTGAGCAAAACATTGGGCAGCTGCCGGTCATCCAACCAGCCCTGCCAACAGTCATGTGTAGTATCTATTTAATAGTAGCATTAGAAGGTACAATTTATTTTGATTTTTATAAAGAAACTGCCCACTTCACATTTTTCATTATGAAGAATACGTTGTAGGTATCTATAAACTATAGGTACGAAGGTACTAGCTAGCTAATGACTTGTTTATGCAAACCCTGCAAACGGGATAAAACATCGGATTCGAAAAAAAAACAGCCTCACAATTGTCTGAATGGTACGTTATCACGGCCTACCGTATTACGGCCGTCCTATACAATACTGGAAATAAGTAAAGAAAGAAAACATTTTTGTTTTGACTCAATGTCCGTCAATGACATGAGATTCGAGATCACAGTAGGTAATATTTGCCCATTTTTTTTGAGGAGGGAAAATCATCCAATGCCTTTCGAGTGAGACTGTCAGACTCTTCAATCAATCATTTATTATTTGTGAAAAATAGGTAACAAAAAATACATCAAACTCAAAGCATTTATTTCAATTAAACTATAATTTGGTACTTTTGAAACGTCAACAAATACAAAGTTAATAAGTCTGTCAATCTGACAAACTCCATTCGTTAGCTACTCTTTTTAGAAAACAATATGTTTTACAATCTGTCTGATACATTATCCAATATTGTACTGAAATGTGAGAACAATGCAAAGACACACTTGTCGCATTATATAAATCTTAAAGTACACTCTTACTGCTTTTACTGACCAATACCTACCCTGTTCCCATTCCTGTCTGGTTTAAGGGAGCTCCGGTAACCCGCTACGCCGTCCGCAGGTCCACTATATGCCCGACCTAATAAAATCGACCGAATCAAATCGTGACTTGTTGCTCGACAGACGCATTTTACCACCTTGTTTATGTACTAGCTTCCACGCGGTTTCACCCGCTGCTCCGCGCCTATTGATCGTAGCGTATCATCATACTAGCTTGTACCAACGGGTTCGCCCGCCTTCGGATAAAAGCAACCTATGTGTTATTCCAGACCTTTGTTCCAAACATCTCGATCCCTTCAGGCGTTTTGACGTGAAGAGTTAGCAAACAAACATAAACTTTGATTAAGAATGTTAGTAGGATAGCCTTTCTCGATAAATGAGCTATCCAACTGAAAAATAATTATTAAATTTAAAAATTATTAAAACCAGGAGTTCCAGAGATCAGCCGATCGAACAAACAAACTTCAGCTTTTATAGATTCCATCAACCAATCAACCACCACGCTTGCTCCATGCGGGTTGGTGATTTCAAACTTATAATTAAAAATGTATAAGCCTAGGTTTCCTCACGAGGTTTTCCTTCACCGTTTGTCAGTGGTGTCTGAATAATCGGAAAAAGTCACATTGGTACTTGCCGTTGGTAGGGTTCGTACCCGCACCCTCGAATGCGTGAGAAGTGAGCGTCTTAAACCTTCGGGCCACCACGACTTTTATAGATGAGCACTGAAATAATATCGTGTTCCCGAATAAACCCCGTTTTTCCTTCCAACCCGTGGCCGTCTGCACGTGTTTTGCTTGTAGTTCCAGTCGCCCCCAATTAATTTAACCCTACAGATTCAACTGTCCCTTGTAACCCTCCTCCCTTTAGTTAAGCTAAGCCGATTTCCTCCCCACTAGGGGGTATCATTAAAACCAGTTACAAATACATTTGGATAGATACCTGCGTTTAAATAACATTTTAAGGGCTTCTTTGGGCAGTCCAGTAAGTGTACCTTCTAAAATAATTATTCAGTAATAGTATCTCCATTTCATGCATCGGGCTTTGACAAACAATAGGAGAGTGTTCAGACGATAACGACACACGCACGATAACCGCACACTGTACGCTTTCAATCCGCTTTGAAAAAGTTGCGTATAATTAAAGTCTTATAACTCTTAGAACGCTTGAGCCTTGAATAGATCTTAAATTACATTTATCGTAGTTTCCGCAACTTGGTTGCAACGCGGACTGAAAGCAAGCGCGACGTGACAATGCATTTCAAGATCTATTTATAAATCATAAAGTTCAAATTATCTGCTACAAATTTCGAAGTAGGCTCAAAGCGCGTGCCTCGCCCGTGTTGTATGCGTGTCGTCTGAAGGTGTCCTAACTTATGCATGTGTTTGTGTACTAACAGTAAAACTGACGAGTTTGAGTAATTGTCTTGTAAAATGTGTGCGTGTATGTGTATGTATGTATAAATGTATAAAATATCTATTGTAAGGTCTCTAAAGGTATCTAAATACCACTGTCTGTACATAAAAGAACACTTAATACTGGCTGCTCAACACGGTTACTCATCCCTGACTTTTCCGGCGAATTTGTTGCAACTTTTGAATTTTTTTCTTTCAAATGGCGGTTAGCTATAACCAAGTACATTGTTTTAGCATTCTACAGAAAGGACCATTTGAGAAAACATCTGCAGACGCACACGAAAGTGTTTGTAGAACAGAATAGTGAATTAGTTGGGGAGCACGGGTTCGTGGAGGTTAAGCAAGAGATCCTCGACGAGTACAGCACACAGGCTAATGAGGATGAAGAACAGCCAGCCACAATGATGCACCCAATCAGTAATTATGAGGTGAGCTCTCATACATAGATACTAGGTATAATAATAAAGTCGAAGTTTTTTGTTTGAATGCGCTGTGCCCGCGACTTCGTCCGCGTGGAATAGTCATTCACAGCTCCTCCCCCGTAGATGATAGCACGATAATATGTAGCCTATGTGTTGAACAGACCTGTAAGTAATATTCATGCAAAATTTGAAGTAAATCCATACAGTACTTTTTAAGTTTAACTCGGACATACAGACAGACAAAAATTATAAAAATACACATGTTTTGCTTCGATATCGATTGCAGATCACGCCTCAAGCATTCTTTAAAAAAAATATTCAATGTACAGTTTTCAGTTTCCTACAATTTTATTATACCTATGTACAGATTCTATTGGATAGTCCTTTTATTGATGAATTCTGTATGCTAGCAAATATCACGCTGCGATCAATACAAGCTGAAACAGCAAACGCAATCGAGCAAACAGCGGTTAAAACCGCGTAGTAGTAGGTAGTAGGTAGTTACTAAATATGAATCTCATGCCCCTTTGGTTACACCAGAATTCGCCATAACTGACAAAATCGCAAACTTCATTTTATGTAGTTAGTAGCATTTAAAAATAACATAACATCACGCCTTTTATCCCCGAAGGCAGAGGTGGACATTTACGGCACTTAATGCCACTATACAATGTAACACCCACTTTTCAGTATTTATGTTATGAGTCCCATGTAATAGGGGCTGAGGTTATTGCCGTATACCGGGTACAATTCCAGACTCCGTACTACCACTGAGAATAAAAAAAAACCAGTAATACTTTGCCGGATTCGGGAATCAAACCCGTTGCCCCCTTGCCCGGCAGTCGCAATTGTCACCACTTAGCAAACGAGGCAGTAGTATTTATTCCTACTGAAATCGTCTATTAATCGTGTGTATTTTTTTACCAAAAATCTCAGTAGTAGCACGGAGTCTGGAATTGTGCCCGGTATATGGCAATAGGCTCACCCCCTATTACATGGGACTCTTAACATAAATAGTGAAAAGTGGGTGTTACTTTATACAGTGGTATAATGTGCACCTCTGCCTACCCCTTCGGGGATAAAAGGCGTGATGTTATGTTATGTTTTTTTACCAACTTTAAACCTCCTTTCGACGTACCTAGTATGGTTTCAACACCCCCTCCACCGAAACTCCACGTATATTGTTAATCGATTACATAAAGAGGAAGGTCTCAATTCATCGGAATTCAGAATATTACCGTTTTGTTTTCTTAAAAGGTAGAAACCATGTCAGATCGTATATCAAGGACGTTTCTTTCTTTTGTTAAAATTTTAAACTAATATTTTTTCCTTGCTCGTCTTATGTATCACAATACTCTGTCTTTATTTTGCCTTTATGTATTTAGATTTATGGTTTGATTTAACTCAGGTAGCCTCTAACGTTCTAGACGTATCGTATAAGTATTTTGAAACTTGCACTAAGGCCTGTTTCACACTGTATGGTTAGCCACTGTGTACTTACTAAATAAAGAAAAAAGACCGTAATTTGTAAGAACTATCTATCCCATAAGTTTATCGGGTATTTTTTTCAATGTTAAATATTAATTGGGATGATAACAGGGTATGAAAATTATAATAAAAAAATATTAGACACGTATTTTTTATTTTGTCGTAACCAATACTTAGATAAAACGAATCAAAGTTTAGGAGTGGGGGCTAGCTAAAACGTCATGTATAAAATGTACATAGAAGTGACGTAACGCGACATTTCAAATCAATATATCGTCGAAAATATTCGTTTCTGTAAGAAAATAACAAATACGTGTCTAATGTTTTAAAATAATCTACCAGACGGACATTCAAATAAAAAATAGGCATCTACCCTATACATACACTTGGTTCGTGCCCTTGTCTTACATTTTTTTTATACAATAAGTATAATTAATGTTTATTAAGTATCTTTGTTGCACACTACAATACAAGAATACATTACATAATAATTAACTACATATTATCATATCAGTTACTTGAGAATATGAAAGTGGTGAAACACAATACGTTAGTACATTTACGAACAAATTGAGTCGATACTTCAAAAAGCTGATTTAGACAACGGGCTTTAGTTAAAGTCAGATGTTAACCCTATGTTGCGAAATACTAGCTATGTAGGATACCGGAGATGTGAAGCAGGCGTCCGCATTAAACCCTACACGCCCACCCGTACCCGTACCCGATCTCGGGGTAATCCCGACAGGCTTCGTTCGTTGTTTTGCTCAGACCGGCTTGAGAACATCTGTCCTCCAGTGACCGGAGCCATAAGGACTCATTTTGCGATGAAAAAATGGGCACAAAATCTGAGTCAGATTCTGTGCACAATTTGTAAGGTTTTATTATACCGACGTAGCTAATCAGTATTCATATTATGCTATGTGTGTTGTTCAGATATTTTTCCTATGAAGAGATCAAAAAACCAATAATTAATGTTTTTTATATGACTGCCTCGTTGGCCGAGTGGTCTGTGACTGCCGGGCAAGGGGTCTCGGGTTCGATTCCCGAGTCGGGCAAAGTATTACTGGGTTTTTAAAAAAAAATCTCAGTCGGAGACGGAGTCTGGAATTGTGCCCGGTATATGGCAATAAGCTCCCCCTTTATTACATGAGACTCGTAACATAAATAGTGAAAAGTGGGCGTTACATTGTACAGTGGCATAATGTGCACCCCTTCGGGGATAAAATGCGTGATGTTATGTTATGTGTCTTTATCTGTGTTTTGTATTGTGAGTCCAAAGTCTTGCAAATCTAGACCATGTGTCATAACTTAGAACGCTGCCACGGAAACTGAATAATTAAGTTTATAATATTTCGTTTTAGGCTACCACTACTACAGAAGAAAGATTCAGCAATTCGGATAAAATAATACAATCTGCTCCTAGACCTTTTAAGTGCCTGGTTTGCCATAAGACGTACAAAAGAAAGGATCATCTCAAGATACATAGCTGGACGCATTTGAAAAAAGAAAAAACGTGCAGCGAGTGCGGAAAAGGTAAGTCCCGTAGTTCCGTATACACTTGAGAACAACGAAACCACATCACTGGCGTTCTATTTTCAATCATTGGTAGATTTTCTGATACAAGTACTTTATTAAAACTTTGACTGCCAATAAAAAACTGTTGAAGGTAAATCCTCCGCTAACGCCGGTCACCGGTGACCCCCATGGCGTTTAACGTATTAATTGGTAAAGTATGTCGTATAAGAGGCAATTTAATTACCTTTAAAAGAGACCATTTTGTTGTTAAAGGAATATTTTTTTAACGTAATTTAACATTCGCCTAATTTCGGAGTCAAGTTACGTTGTATTATCTTTAAGATTGTTCAGAACCTACAATTATTTACTACTAGCTTTTACACGGCGTGAAAGTGGAACAAACAAACACACTTTCCGATTTATGATATTAGTAAGGATTAATATACAACTATTAATCTTAACATTTAATTTTACTTTACCTATAAAGGCACGCCTTTGTCTTTTGTCTTATGGTGGTAGGCTACGATTTATACTTAAATTGAATTCTAAAATCAAATGGATAAAGTTATTTATGCATTACCTATCTTTTTTAATGTACAAAACCTTCCACAAAGTTGTCATAAATATATGTCGTAGGATAATTTGATACTTCGAATCTTCGCGGAAATCCTAGGGGTTTTGCGAAAACGCGGATAATTAGACATAGGCGAAAAATTATCAAATCTTACTGGACAAAGTCAGGATTTTTGCGAAAATACTCGTTACTATAGTAAGATTTGATGTGCTCAACACTGATTGGCTACGATATTCCTTTCTCACCTATTCTAAACCTTCATAACTCTATGATACAATACTTGAAGTTAATCATCGGCAAACTAGGAACCAATTAGAAGTCAGCCAGCAAAATTGTAGCCAATCAGTGTTGAGCACATCAAATCTTACTATAGTAACGAGTATTTTCGCAAAAATCCTGACTTTGTCCAGTAAGATTTGATAATTTTTCGCCTATGTCTAATTATCCGCGTTTTCGCAAAACCCCTAGGATTTCCGCAAAGATTCGAAGTATCAAATTATCCTACGACATATACATTATACTATCGGGCTATCGACCACCAACCAGTCCTTCAATAACGACCTTTGGAAGCCCCACATTTATAGTAAAGGATAACGTAGCGTCCCAGCTAGGCCACCATATCTAATAACACGGTACAACACTGTGGGCAAGAGGAGTATTTGTCATCATAGGTATAAGTAACAGTTGTTCTCGTGGCAACCACAAGTAACTGGTATTACCGACATAATTCATATTTAAGTGTGGGAGACCTATGCTTCGACACGAATGAGCCCACTCGACTGAAGTGATACCACGGCCTCACACAAAACCGACGGAAACAACGCTTACGATGTGTTTCATCGTGTGAGTGAGGTTACCGGAAGCCCAATTACCCCCTCCCCCAAATCTCCCCAGTCCCCGAGTTCCCACCGATCCTCAAATTCCTAATCCCCAAAAGGCCGGTAGCGCACTTGTAAAGCCTCTGGTATTTTGGGTGCCTATGGGCGGCGTGGATTGCTTACTATCAGGTGATCGGTCTGCTCGTTCATGCGATAAACAAAAATTTACTCAAACGCACAGTTAACTCAAATATCAGCCTGTTATTTCATTGTGTATTATTGGAATAAACAGATATTAGTTTTTAAACCTGTTACTGAGTAATAGGTATTGAGAACTGTGATTTTTACGGAACAGTAATAGAACAAGAAAGAAAGACTGCCTCGTTGGCCGAGTGGTCGCGTGTGTGACTGCCATGCAAGGGGTCTCGGGTTCGATTCCCGGGTTGAGAAAAGTATTATTAGGTGTTTTCAAAAAATCTCAGTAGTAGCACGGAGTCTAGAAATGCGCCCGGTGTATGACAATAGGCTCACCCCGTATAACGTGGGACTCATAACATAAAATAGTGAAAAGTGGGTGTTACATTGTATAGTGGCATTAAGTGCCGTAATATACACCTCTTCTGGAATAAAAGGCTTGAAGTTATGTTATGTGTAGTAATAAAAAGAACAGGCGCATATAACAGTTACAAGTGTTATAAGTTATAAGCCAAGTATGTATGTGGTACGCTGTACTGTCAGTACTGCGGCAACCCGTTCTACGAACGTGGCGATTACGACAATTTTCCCGGGAATTATGTACGAGGCTTACTTTAGTAGCACTGGCCCACGATGTTACTGCTTCAGAGATATGGGCTTTAATTAAATAGGGATATGTGTTATTTTACCATGCCTATTCTATTTAAAGTAAGAACCTATTGGCTCCTAGTTTTAACTAGACGTTTCTATGTGAAAAGCATAGCTGTTTAAATATATTAGTTTACTAGCGAACCCGGCGAACTCCGTTTCGCCACCAGATGACTTCGTTTTATATTACTAGCTTTTACCCGCGGCTTCGCTCGCGTCACAAAAGGATAAGAAGCCAATGTGACATATACCAATACACACAGCGCCATCTATACCAATACTTTTGTTTTCCCTCGGTAATATCAAATTTTTCAGGGATAAAAAGTACCCTATTATTTAATCCGGACTTGTAACTTAACGTCTGCAAAATTTCAAAGCAATCGGTTACGGCGTTAAAGTGGAACAAACAAACAAATAAGTTACGGCGTTAAAGTGGAACAAACAAACAAATAAACTTACTTTCCGATTTATAATATAAGTAAGGATTTCGTTTGGTGATTAAAAGATGAAGAAAAAATCTACGTTTGCATTTATGTATAATGTTACACATGTTTACGCAAATAAATATATCTTTATCGTTATCTTTATCTTTAAAAAGTCTTGAATTTTCTTTGCTATACCTAATAACCTTACGGAGCCCGAAACCTTTTCAACGAATACATAACCGTGGAAATCGGTTCGTTTTGGAGTTATAGCGTCAAGAAGAAAAACCCGACTTATTTTTATATAGTAGATTTTTAACAACTGCATGTACGTTGACAAAATTTTCCAATTTCTAACTGTTCTATAACACAGTACAATCTATATTTTGCTGATGAAAAAAGGAAGAGGTTCTCAAGACGAAGCGTATTTTTTTATGTATGACGCATAACTTCACAAAGTAGTCCTATATGAATAGGTACCTATTTTTTTGCTAGAAACGGTACCTACACACTGAACTTGGTCCCATAAAATTAAAAAAGATAAAATATTCCAAAGGGAGGGGCGGGTAAGGGAACATAGTCATTATATTTGTTACAAAGCAATTTGAATAGTTTTTTTTAAATAAGTAGATATGTCCCAAGGTTGTTCCCACAAACATACAAACGGTGTAAGCCAAATATAAATGTTTAATAAAAATGAAACCAAAGAAAAACGAAATGAAAATCATATTTAATAGAAAGAGTATGAATATGTTTGTGCGCATTTATCTCGCGAATGGCTGAACCTATTTTGATGCGGTCTTCAGAAAAGTGTTTGTTGCACTTAGGAGAAGGTTTAAGTATATAACCGATTTCAAAAAAGGGAGGGGATTGAAGTCGGTTATTTTAAACGTAGTTTATAAAAGTACTAGCGACCCGCTCTGGCTTCGCACGGGTGCAATATGTATGTATTATACATATTAACATTCCATAAGAATCACTCTATCTATTAAAAAACCGCATCAAAATGCGTTGCGTAGTTTTAAAGATCTAAGCATACATAGGGACAGACAGACGGCGGATAGCGACTTTGTTTTATACTATGTAGTGTTTATAAAGCTAAATAAACTAACAATAAATACAGTGTATTATTACGTAATAAAATAACTAATAAAGTAAAAAAAAGTATTATTACTGCAAAAAAAATCTGACTTATAACATAACTGGGCAAACGTTGATGTCTGTACCTAACTTACAACATTATTTTCGACGCGTGAAGTTATATTTTATTCTACAACCATATTTGTGCGTCTCAGTAAAACCCCCAAGGTTTCGCTCAGGCCTCCCCTTGTCAACCCTCTTACGAAAGAGATGCACGTGTTTAGTTTTATATTTTTATCATAGAAAAAAAGTGGAGGGTTGTACTCGTTCGGAATAGGTAGAAATAAAAAAAGTTGTAAGGCATCGAGGGGTTGAAAGATGAGGTATGAAGTATAGCATTTTATTGTTCGTAAAATATTTCGGTGCCATAACAGAAGTGATGTAGACAAGGTCATGGTTTCTAGGTGTGGTGAATGCCCCCTACATTATGTAGTAGGTAAACTGTGTGTTTCAAGTATTTAATTATTAGATGCTATGAACACGCTTTTTTATAAACGTGTTTGAGACCTATGCGTAAATTAATGCGTGAAGTGGGTGTCACATTTAATATTTGTACTTCTGCCTACCCTTTAGATAATAACAGGCGTAATGTTATGTATATTACAAGTGTGACTAGTAAATAAAAGCCACACTCGGCTATAAAATAAATTAATTACAATAAGGTTTCTTTGTACAATCACTACGGTGATTACAGTCAAAACTGTGCAATGGTTTGATACTAAGATAATAATTTATTTATTGGACGGAACAGACCTCACGCTACATCGGCGCCATCTGGTGAGAAAAAAAAACGGCAGCTCTTATTAGGCTAGACAAGTTACAAGTTGCTACGTACTAAAATTGTTAGTCGTAGGCACTATGAATAGATGCGCCCTTAGTTGGGTGAAACAACATAAACAATACCGGTGAAAGGTGGGTGTATTATTCTCTGCCCACGCCTTAGGGATAAATAGCCGTGATGTTATGTTTTGTTTTCCGTTAAACTGTGTGTAGGCAGTACTCATAGTTGATTAATTGATGTACCAAATAAAAAGTGTCTTAATTTTTCTAGGTATCTGTCGATCGAGGGTGCTATTACAATGGATTGTTTTATTTTTTAGGGAAAGCTAACTAAAACATTCATTCAAATTGTGTTTAACTGTTAAGAAAATGTACCCTTTTATCCCCTTGAATGCCGGTTTATGAGACAATAGAAAATACATTGGGTTAAAGAAAAAATGG